TCCGTTCCAGGACTGGACCGCTGAAATCTGACCACCCCTCCCATGTTGCAAAACAAGGGAACCTTGAATCCCAGGCTTTCTGATTGCCTCCAATCTCTAATGCAAATGAACTTGGTGTAATTATCCCTGCATTTCTCAAAATGTACATCAGGAGAGGGGAGAGGTTTAATTCAGCTTCCTGAGCACTTAAAAATAGAATCATTCTGGCTTCTTCCCTGATTTGGTTGGTTTCCATGGTTGGTGGCTTTTGACATACACCCCTGTCTTTCTCGGGCTCTGGTGACTGGTAGGGCCATCCAGGAGTCAAGGATGACTTTGCCGCTGGGTAAACCAGGGGGGCTGGCTGGGTGTTGAATTTTTGTCAGACAAATCTCCAACAGAAAGGAGGGCAAGCAGGGAGTCCCTTATCAGCCTTACTGGTCACAATGGGCTTACAAATCACATCTGGGCTGGTTAGACTACCGGCCTCATAGAGGCAGAGGTGCCAATTCCCACGTGTCCTTCTCTCTGGCTAGGATAGGAGAGATTCGTGTTTTCTGGGACTCAGGTCCTGTGGAAAGACATTTTGAGCATGGCTGTCTTTTATTTAATATAGCAAAGCAGCTTTTTCAAACGACTATGCTAAAAGAAGAACAATTTAAAAATAACAAGAGAAGGAGATATAGATAGCTATATTATAATGCAAATTATTTTGCATAGTCAATAATTAGAGACTTTTTAATGCATTTTTCTTCAGAAGACAAGTATGCCCAATTCAACAGGGCAGTGAGCTTTTCAGTGCAGAAAGTGGGACAGGTGTGATGCTTTGCTCCTGCACCTGGGCAAGTGAAGAGACTCTTCCTTTCCAAATGTAGCCGCTTCCCAGTGGCCTTTGCGTCACTGCAACACTGAGCCCAATGAAAAACCAAAGAATGTGCAAATATTTTCCTTGCATTATTTTGGCAATTCTGACAATCATTTTCTTTTGTCACCCCACACCGAAGAGGCCAACAGAAAGAATGTAGTGGTTGGAAGGATGCTTTAGTATGCAGCTTTGGCTCAGTGCCATCTGGCCTATATGTTCTCTGGCAGATGATCCAAATATGCCAGGCCTTCCTGTTGCACAGAAGGTGTGTGTGTGTGTGCATGCAGATGTTCCTCTTCCAGGCTTTTCTGCTAAAAACAGGGCCGGGGAAAAGCCAAAACCCCTTGCCAGAAGGAAGCCAAGGAAACTTTGATGTGGAGTCCTTGGTGCTCTCAGTTTTCTTGCAGACGTTTCATTACCCAACTAGGTAACGTCATCAGTGCTAGTGGGGAGTGATGTTTACTCTCTTTTATAACAACCAACTCAGATAAAATAAAACCAAACAGTAAACAACAGCCTAATCAAGCAACCACCAAGAACACTCTAGTACCAACACCAACCGGATAAGTCAGTTGTGAATAACCATAGAGGAAACCCCATTCCTGTCTAGCACTGATGGTGTTACTTAGATGGATAATGAAACATCTGGAAGCAAACCACCCAGAGAACACCATGGACCCCATAGTTTTTGAACTACAAATATTCCCTTCTGTTGGTACTGAAATTGTCATCCTGTGTCTTGAAGAAAGAGAAGGAAGCATCTCTGGAACCAGACTCTGCTTATCATCATGTGCACTAAAACTGCTGTGTTTGAATTTGGACATATGGGACTCAGAGGGATGTCTTAGATTATCTGCTACTCTCTACTGAATATGTTCTGTTTCTGGAGAGAGAAGGGGGGGGGGAAGGAGGTAAGGAAATTAGACTGTCCAGAAAATGGTTGTAAGGAATCACCATAATATGGATGGGGGGATGTTGTGTTTCTTGGTTCTGTTTCCATCACTCCCCCCCTTCCATGCCCCCTTGCTCACCTTCTTGTTGACCAGAATCCTGGTTGTGCTTGGAGCTGCTTCCCACAAAGGAAATTCTGAATGGTGGCTGGCTGGGCTGGGCTGGGAGATTGCAAGCAGGCTGACTGGTGAGGAGGCAGGGACCGTGTTTCAGGGTGTTCTTCTCATGTGATTGGCCTCTTCTTGGAATCTGGGGTGTGTGTGAAGTGACCCAAAAGCTCAGGGCAACATCACCTTTCTCCAGTCAGCAACTGTGAGGGGCTGGAGAGGTTGGGCAATTTGCAAAAGTTAGCCTTGAAAATCTACGGAGACTCTCCATCATCCAGGTCTCACGGTTGTCCCATGGGTGCTTTTTCCAAAAGGCAACAGGACTTTCTTGGTTTTGTCTTTGGAAACGTTTCGCTTCTCTCTTCGAGAACTGAAGAAGCTCCTTGGATGAGAAGTGAAACGTTTTCAACGACAAAACCAAGAAAGTCCAGTTGCCTTTTGGAAAAAGGACCTTTGGATCAGTCTTGAATGATTTCAGTTCCTACCTTTCAGTTTACAAATGATGCAAATCTATTTGTCTCAGTGAATGATGGCTAAAAGCCATAAAGGGGGCTTGAAAAGTGTCCGTGAAGAGCCACCATCGGAGAGCTGAGTAGATGAAAGGCAATGGCCAGATTGTTATGATCAGTCCTCTTGATGGGAATCAACATCCAGTCCTTTTGTAGTTTACTGAAGGAAGTGCGAACCATAAAACCCCCCTGCTCATCCCCCTTCCCCTTCGTAGTATGACAGAATCCAGAGAGGGCAGGAATGAGGGGTTTTTCCATAGTCGATAACCAGAGATGAATTATAATTGGATTCTGACATCCTGCCCCCTTAAAAATAAGATAGATCCACCTGAAAGAAAACAAAACAGGTATAAAAGTTAGTCTGGCTTGTTAGGATACTCTGTGTGAAACTGCTTTAATAGCTTCGGGGCTCTGGCATGATGTTTATGGACCCACTCGTTTTGTGAGGCAGGGAGGTGGTTCCAAGCTACTAGGTACATGAGCAGGGAAGAGGGAAGCTTTGAAGCTCCACCTTGGAAGCCTCACGCCAAGCAAGGGAAGCTCTGCAGCTGCTTTGATCAAAGCAGCTGCGAAAGAAGAGCCGTCATTGTGAGGCCAGTGGGACTGGCAAGCCTTTGCTCAGCTCAGCCATTCGAATGCTGCTCTGTCTCTTCCATTGGTAGCTTCTTGTCTCGGCTTCCAAGGTTGGACAATCCGACTGCTGGAATTGTGGATGAAGAATCCCAGCTGCGGGTAACCAAATCAAAAGCTTCCAATTCTTCTCCAGCAAGTAAAAGATGGGGATGGCTCACTCCTTATGCTGCCAGGTGGTATCATGGCTGCTTGAGCTGATCTTCTCATTGTGTTTGGCTGATTGCACTTGAATCCTTCTAGAAGGGTTCTGGGTTCAAACCAGGCATCACCCTATGTGGAAATTTTCTCCATCCTTTTAAAAAGCTGCCAGGTGAATCTGCTGCTGCTTTGACATTTATTGTCTGGCCAGAAGGTTGTCATGGACCCCCAAAAGGGGACCACACTTGCAGTATAATGTTGAGTTTGAATCATGGACTAGCATGCAGTCCTTGCCTGGTCATAAAAACCTAAAGCCCATTTGCAGAGTCACTGGTTGGTTTTTAGCATCTTGTTCAGCTGGAAAAGTTTCAGACAGAATCCAATTCACATGATGTCTGATTTTCTGGATCAGGGAGTTCTTTACCTGCAGACAACAGTGCATCAGTTTGCCAGAGAAGTATTTCCTTCCTTCTTTCATCTTATTTTCTGGACCCAGGATGCTTGTTTGGTGCATCTGCAACATTCTCCAGGGTTTCGTGACTGACAACAAGTGTTTACGGCTGGGTCCTTTCAAATGGGTCTGGTCAAATGGGATTCCCACTGCTTGCCTTCAGTTGCCAGGCAAAAGAATTCTCCTGCATTTTCCTACCAGTTGTGATTCAATTTATAAAGGCAAATTTGAGTTGAAATGTCTTTCAAAGCAAAAGGGGGGGGGTGTCAGAGAAATTCTTATGGATTGAGTGGTATCTTGCTCTTACTAATGACAAGAGGGAGAAAAGATTGGTGTAAACATGCTCGCCTTCTACATGCAATCATTTCCTAACAGACTGTAGCCTCTAATATTTTTTCTTCCCTTCAATTGTGTCTGGTTTTCGGAGGCTGCCTGGAGAAGTCCCTGCAGTTGTCTTGGCAAGGTTTTTCAGAAGTACTTTGCCATAGCCTCCCTCCTATGGCCGAGAGAAAGTGACTGGCCCAAGGTCACTCCACTGGCTTTGCGCCCAAGGTGGGACTAGAACTCCCGCTCTCCCAGTTCCTAGCCTGATGCCTTAACTCCATTAAATCCCAAAGAAAGACATCGGAGTGGCCCCTTCTCCCACCGAGGCACCAAAGTCAATACAGTTGCAGTGTTGCCTTTCTCTGAAGAAATGGCTGGAGAATTTTTCGTTTCAGAAAAATTGTCTGCTCAATTTCTTTATGCTTTTTCAATGTCAAAAGGCCCTCGCTGTTCACCATGGAGTGGCCAGCTTGCATGCAGGTAAAAGAGAAAAAACACCCCTGATGCTCAATGCCCAGCATCCTGTATGAAGCGGCTGCAGCCCTGGCTGAAACACTCTGGGGCGGTCCTGTGCATGGCAAGCCCTGGCAAACTGGGCACCAGAGTGGGATAGAAGTACAAGGCAGCCTTTATTTATTTTTTGACCAGCCAGAGAAGCCCTGCATGTACAGCCTTGCATGTGTCCGGCAGAGCCCTGCAAGTAATTGCCTCGCCATCCATTCTCCTCCTGCAATTACTTGCTGAGGCCTGCTGAGAGTCTCCAGCATCCCAGCATACCCATGACTTAAGTGATTCCAGGCTGCTCCCCGCTGCCACTGGGGCCATAAGGATTTTGCATTGATTCTTTTTTGGTTCTCTCATTTTGCTCATGAGGAATGACTTGCCTGCAGCCCAGATTGCAAGGCGGGGATGGGGGGTGGGGGTGGGGGTGGCAAGGCTGCAAGAGGGACATAACAAGCTGCATCCAACTTTTGCATTCAGGTTTTTTTTTTCCTTTGCTCCTTTTCCCACCTGCCATGAGTTCTTTTCTTCCCCTTTCATAGTGTGGACGCAATGCTGAAAACTTCGACCGGTTTTTCACTCGCCATCCACCTGTCTTAACGCCACCTGACCAGGAAGTCATCAGGAACATTGACCAATCAGAATTTGAAGGCTTTTCTTTTCTTAACTCTGTGTTTTTTAAGACAGAAGTCAAGAGCTAAGTAGACCATCCTCCCCCTCCCCCCACCCCTTGCACACCCATGACCATTTCCATTGGGTCTCGGCTGTTGTGTGGTGGCACCCTCTGTTGCAACCATTAGCTGTCATGCTTTGGATACTTTTTTTTTCTTTTGTGGTGATACTGGAATGACCATCCTTCAAAGACTTGAGCCGCAACTGAGTGTTGTTGCATCAGTGGCACAGGCGGGAGAAAGAGCAACCGAGGTGTTATGGCTGTGAGCCTAAAGATCAGGTTATCTTGGAGGTTTAACCACTCTGGGCAGGAGGCAAGAGTTGAAAATCCCATTTCCTTTAAAGTTAGCGAAACGCCTCTGGATCTTGAGCACCATTTGGTGGTGCTCTCCTTTTCTGTTCCCCACTCGGCTTCTTCCCAAGGAAGCAGTTAGCAAAAGGAGTGGACACGGTCTGGCTTTGCAAGATGGAACTTGGCTTAGCTTCTTTGTCCCTTGCAGCATCACATGTTTAGAGAATGCTGCCTCCTTGCCTTCTGGCGACGTTGATGTGAAACCCATCTGTACAGAGAGACAACTCTCTGTTATTTCCATGGCATCTGCAAAAGTCACAATGACTCAGAACTGGCTGCCAGAGGCCTTTGGGTACAGCCTGCGTTTAGTCCCCAAACCTCAGTGAATCCATGAAGCCAATCAGTAGATGTTCATACTCCGGGATGTTTATTATTCCTATTCCCAGGAATTCTAGGGAATTGAGATGAGGGACTAGGATAGTCTCCAGACCCTTTGAAGGAAGTCATGCCAGTTAGATGGGGTGAGGGAGGCAGAAGGAGGCAGCTTCTGTCCCCAAGTGGGCCACGTTTGAAGTTGATCACCCCCTCATAGGAATTCCACAACATCCACCTTCAGTTGTGCCATCACCATTTCTTGTGTTCTCCTTAACTATCCCATTTATTTGCATTAGTAAATTCACACATAAGAGAAGTCCTGGAACTGGATCTGGCCTTCCCAAGGCTAACTGAAAATCATAAGCAGGATACAGAAGCAAACACTGTCTGGTCTCACCCAGCAGTGCTGACGACATCGTTGCAGATAGCAGGGAAGGTTTTCTGGGGGAATCCCTGGATGCTCCTAGCATGAAGGAGAGTGGATCCTAAGGGTCTCAGGTGGAAGAAAAGAGGAAGAAGGAAACTTCCTGGCTTGCCCAGTTCAGTGAAAAACGGGCACCCGGAAGCATGGAAAACCGCTGCCAGTGTTGGACCCTGTGACCTGGCACAGTAGAAGACGGGATTCAGTGTTTCTGGAGAGTGGAGAAGAGGGAACCCCGGGCTTTGTGGGGACACGGCCGCAGGGGAGGGAAAGGCAGTGCACCAGGAAGGTCCTCCAGAGCCGGTCAGTATTGAGAGCCCTGATTTGCTTTCAGTACTAGAAGAGAGGAGAAGGAGAAGGGTTCCCATGGGGAGGGAGGGGGGATTGACCCTTGGAATCACTGAGCCTGGACACTCCTGCTGTTGAGTTGTGGAGCCACTTCTGTCTTTGTTTTTTAAGCCCAGGCTGCCCTGCCCTGATAAGCAGGCACATTTCAGCAAAATGTCACCACTTACTGTCAGGAGACCCCAGCCTGGCCATCAGAATTCCCTCTGAACATCTTGGAGTCAATGGTCAACCTTGTATCTACCATCCCATGTTACAGTTTTTACGTTTAATTCATATCAACCCTGTGTGGCACCTTTGCAAGTGTTTTGGGGGAGGGGGCGAGGGTGGATGCCGTTTGTCCAGCTGCCAAATTAACAAATTCCATATGTCCTACCGTGCTTTATCTGTGTCAAAAATTTAGTATTTTACTAAAATTAAGCTGATATTTAAAATCCAAGAAGTTTGTGTGTAACTTTACTGAAGCTGTAAAATATTTTTGTTTTGGCTAATATTCTTCTGAGAATAAGAGATATTTTCTGCTGGAATTTGAAGTTGTCTGTGTTTTTGAGAAAGAGGAAGAGAAAGAAAGAAAGAAAGATTCCTTTAAAGTTCAGATTATTATTTCTCTTTTGTTCTTGCTTGTGGGGTATGCAACTACCAGTTTGCTTTTGAGTTGTTTATGTTATGCCAACTTCCCCCTCCCCGAAAGTTATAAAATAAAAAGTAAATATTATTTTGAGGAAACCTCAATTTATTCTAAAACTGGTCTTCAATGGGAGGGGAATAATTTGAAAGCAAAATCTCTGCTCGGATGTTCAAATCTGACAGCAGTAACAGTTATATTACATTTATTACTTTTTAGAAACCATCAGGGCCAAAACTGTTGAACATGACATGTGAAATCTAATCATGAATTTCAAAATGAACTTTCAGCAAGATTTAGGATACTTCTTTAGAAATATATGTTAAACTCAATTTAAAAAAAAAGAGTAAAGAAGAAAGCCCTCTGTAAAAAAATGAAATTTCAGATATGGGTGTTTTTAGCTTCAACTCTAAAAAATATTGGGTAATCTGCATCAGAGTGTTAAAAATTCTGAATAGAAAACCCCAAATTTTTTCTATGATTCTTTAGGGTTCTTGCATTGAGCAGGGATAAGACTCCATTCCCTAAATGATACCCTCTAACTCAAAATTTAAAATCTAGCACCCTTGAGATGATGGTTTCCTCAAGACCTTCAGAGAGAATGCAATTCTGGAGCAATACAAGACCCATGTAGCACTTACCTGGAGAACGTGGGTCTTGGAGATAAGAGCCCATTGCTTAACATTCCAACTCCTCAGAAATGGGTGGCCTCTGAAGGATTCGTGCTCTTCTCCTTCTCAGTGCTCAATCCAAGGACATGGAGTCCTCAGTCAACTGAGGATTCAGGAACAAGCAATTGAAAGTTGCATCATCAAAGTCAGTGGCAACACTTGATGGTTATGTGGCATTGTTGCTTGTCCAAGCATCACCCCTGGAGATGGCATGACCTTGACTTCTTCCCAAATATTCAGATAGTGCCTAAGGAAACCAGAAGGGCTGCTCTTTTCTCAGTCCAAATGATGAAGGTGCCTCCGTTTTCTCTGATGTTTGCAAATAACACAACCCTTCCTTTACAGGCTCTTTCAAAGCCTACAGCATGGTCTTCTGAGGGATGCTTTGGCTAAGATCCCACCCCTCCCCAAAAGTTTCTCTGTCACATCAGGCAGCATGTGGTCATCCCACGACTCACCTCGGCCCACCGCTTTGCTCGGAGACAGTTGTCCTTTCGGGCAATTAGCAGGGTTCATGAAGGAGAGAAAGCAAGAGAGAGATCCAAATAACAAATTGTGCCCCTCCGCACCTCCCACTGAGTGACTATGAGAAAAACATGGGGAAAGTTACCCAGGGGGAGACACACATTCTTGGTAAGCCTTCTTAAGGAAACAGATGAGATATAGTTTTCAGGACATAACATTCTCCTTCCGGCTTCTTCATGTCCACATGATTTCATCAATAATCTACCCTTCAGTAATAACAGACAGGACCACCTACAACAAGGAGGGCCGCTGTCCTGCTGTTCCTTTGCCTAGAGCAGCCTTGCCCAGTCTCAGGCCTTGGATTGAACTCCCCCGGCCCTTGTCATGATGATTCCGTCCAACACATCTAATTAGCACCAGATTGTGGGGGATTCTCCTAGGTGGAGTAAGGGTGAGGTAGAAAGGTTGGGGACTTTGCATAGTTGAGCTGAAGGGGGATTTTGCCTTTCCTGTAGCTCTGTGCTTGTTTCCACACAAATGTTCAAAGCAAAACGGGGATCTGGGTTGCTCAGCAGGGTCTGTGACAATTCACTGCAGCCAACTAGGCACAGCCAACTCGCCACGGGACGAGAGTTACACTAATATGAAAGAAATGGTGGAACAGAATCATCAAAGAAAGGATGCAAAAGGAGGGACAAAATAAAATGTGAATGACAAAAATTAAAATATTTTTAAATTTATTTTAAATAATTAAATGGAATTGTTCAGTTGTCCTGCGGTGAGTTGGCCGTGGTGAGGTGGCCACAGCGAGTTGGCTGGGATGAGTTGTTCCATTCCTTGCACAGCCTGTAGCCCCCGTGTCACCTCTCAAAATAGCAGGACTGTAGTATTTAAGATGGCTTGATCAGGAGCAGACAAGGAGAACAATCCTAGTTATTTTGGCATTAATTCCAAATGAATTCATTTGTTGTTCTGAGATGCATCTGAAAAGTGCCACCTCACAGCTAAGGTGGCCCTTTCATTAACCCCACCTCAAAATACCAATTCTTTTTCTTTCCTTCAGAACTACAGGTATTATGTTGTGGTTACTCTATTAATACAGTAGATTTCCTTGTACCCTCTTCAATGTGTTACTGATTGGCCTGCTATTTTTTGACCAGTTGATGATAACCCTAAAAAGCATTCACAGATACACACAAAACACAACCCACTATATAACTGGCCATTTAAGAGCGCTGCCTGAACACAGCCATGAGACAGAAATCCATTGATCAAAAATTGGTGTTAAAACCTCCCACTTCTAGGTTAGGATCTCGTTGACCAGACAACAAAAAAGCAGAATTTGATTGGCCTTCTGTATCTGCTAATCCTGAGTTTGTATATTTGTTTTGTTTGCTTGGTTTTTTTTTTTATCCCATCACAATCTCTCGACTCTTGGCAACTACAATGTCACAATGAAAATAATGAAAGAATTTAAGCAACTTAAAATCCAAATCATGAAAGTGAAACCCACCTAGGGGCAGAAGTAATAAGAACAAGAAGAGGCACCGGTGATATTCAAAAAAAAAAAAAAAATCTCTATTCTTAATAGTTTCTTAAAATTCCTGGGAGGGCAGTTTGAACACCTTCGGGAGTGCCTTCTAACTCCCTGGGCACCTGGGAATGTGGGACAATGAGAAGCCCCTACCTCCATGTCCTAACAACCAGGCTGAATCTAGTTGGGGTACCAGGGCCCAAGCCATGGAGGGCTTTACGGGGTATACTTTAAGCTTCTCTCTGAAATAGAGTCCCTGGCTGACAATGCAGTAAGAGAATCAACTCCCTGATCACTAAGGTGACCAACTTTTTTGCAATGAAAAGGAGGACACAAATAAATTGAAGAAAAAAATATCGTAAATAAAAGAAACATTTTATTCATTGCAACAATAATACAGACAACTTGCATGTGCAAAGTTTGCCAGCCGGGTGTTTTGGCGCGCTCAGCAGCAATTCCTATTGGCTTTCAAAAGCCAATAGGGGGAGTAGCACAGCTCATGCAAAAGTTGGGAAAAAAACATCAAAAAAAAGGTGCCCGAACGCCGTTCTGAGTGTTCTATGAGGAAAAAAAGCCCTGCAGATTAGTCTTTAAATGTCGAAAAGGAGGACATGAAGGAGGACACTTTTTGAGGGAGGACAGAACTTACAGAAGGAGGACTGTCCTCCCTAAAGGAGGATGGTTGGTCACCTTATGATCACAAAGTGCAGGCCCAGATGCGGACCCAGCCTCATGCTCAGTCAAGCTCCCGTTTTGTCTTTCTCCACCGGTGCTCCCCGTGGCTCCCCACGCTGCCCCCGAACTCGGGCAATTCTCAGTTGGGTTGCAGGGGAGTCCATCCGAGGGCCCCACTTGCTGAGGGCATCTGCAGGGTGGAGCTACTCAGTAAATGGAGACGCTTCCTCCATTCCGCTGCTGCCGCCACTCCATCCATGCTGAGCCCCTGGCTGTCCTCGAAGCCTTGCGATGGCTTCACCCGGCACCAGCAGAGCCTCTGTGTAAGTACGGATCTGGAGAGGTGCCCCTAGCCAGGCGGTGGCAGCGGGACCCCCTCACCCTTTCCCAGCATTTGGGTGATGTGGCCCCTTTTGCTGGGGGTCCTCCTTGTGTCTTCCTCTGCACTGCTTTTAACTATTTTGCTTTTTCATCCAACAGAAAGACAAACACGACACTTCCAACTTCGATAAGGAGTTCACGAGGCAGCCCGTGGAACTCACGCCCACCGACAAACTCTTCATCATGAATTTGGACCAGAATGAGTTTGCAGGCTTCTCCTACACTAATCCTGAGTTTGTTATTCACGTTTAGGCCGCCTGGCAAATATTCCTACTGTTGTATTTGTAGGGCTGAACCCCAGGATGCTGTGTGTGTGTGTGTGTGTGTGTGAGAGAGAGAGAGAGAGAGAGAGAAAGACAGAGACAGAGACAGAGACAGAGAGACACACAGAGAGAGAGGGAATGTCCACCTGAACCCACCCACGCTCTCACAGTCTTTAGTTTTCTGGGGTTCATGGTGCCCGTGATCCCAGATAGGAGCAGAGGTGCGCCTGGCTGTTTTCCGTCTCCCTTCCTCTTTGTATGCACAAATGGTAGAGACACCCCGATCCATGGAGGGACTCCCGTTTGTTCTAGGGAAAGAGTGGCTGGCACTCTCAGAATCTCCAGCCAGGATGTTTCTGTCTGATTTCAAGACTATGGTCTCAAAGTACCAGACTTACTTCTGTCTTTGTGTTTTGCAATTTCTCTGAAACTGAAGCACTGATTCTTTTTCTGTCTTGGAATGCTAAGCATGCTTTCTGCCCTCCACACATATGGCTGCAGCTGTGACCCCGTATTATTGTTTGGTTGTTGTTCCAAGATGTCCAAGAATCCAAAAAGTCAACATGGTGGCTCCACCCCCTTTTATATTATGCACCATTATTGATAAACACCCCCCCCCCAAAAAAAACCTGTTGTTCAGGCCAGAACCAAATCTGTCGGTGTGGAGAACTTTGTGTCCTACAGTTGTTTCCAAAATGAACATCTTCTTTAGTGGCTGTGAACACACTTTAGAACCAAATTTCCTTCCCAACCCCAAGTTCATACAGTTGAAGGGTTTACTTAGGGCTCTGCTGCTTTGAGGGCAGGAGGAAAGAAGCCAAAAAGGAGAAAATAAATAATAAGAGAGCATTTAAACATCACTAGGGTAATTTGCAGTCTCTGGTTAAATCTGGCTTTGAAAAACAAACTTTTGCTTACGTTATTATTTATTTGTTTCAATTTTGAGGCTGCCCCATTCAGGGCTCAGCCACCATCCTAGCCCACCAGCTCTTTAACAATTTGCAGCAATTCCAGAGGACGGGTGGGGTCCTGATCTCCTGGGGTGGATGGGTGGGTGGGGGAAGGATCCAGTGGTGGGATTCCAATGGGTGAACAACCGGT